ACTGCAATCAGGACTCCGCCACCGCGCGATTTTTGACTGTTTAGGGCAGACCGGTCAGTTCTAAAGACGGAATAGAGTGACCCGAAAAGTTGCGATGAGTAAATTCGGTCGTCCAGCCACGTTTCCGTCAGCACAATCAAATCATATTCGGCCGCCGCAACAGCCAGGAAAAACGAGTCGATTTTAGTCCTCAGCCCACGCACGTTTTGGTAGTAAATCCGGAGACCATTCGAGGAGCAATCACGGGCACTAGAAATCGAAAGGACATCAGGTACCGAAAGTTCGGAATCACTAACATACTCGACTGAGGTTGCAGGCCGGAAGCCCCCGATACCATCACCGACCACAGGACCGGGACGATGACGATGGCGGATGTCTGCAGCAAGCGCGACTGGGTCGGGAGGTTCGGAAGCTTCCTCAGTGCCTGTTTTAGGGTGTCCCGGATCCGAGGAAGAGCAGGTGGCGGCATAAACTTGCTGGTAGTTGGCAGGACGGATGCATGGACATGATGTGGCTAGTGTGGAGATCGCAGAACCGGAAACACAGCTAGAAGTTGAAGCGGTATCAGGCAAAGGAGAAGCTGAATCGTCAATATACTTGCCAGTAATAGCTGGTTGGAAGACCCCCGACCTACATCTACACTCAGGGCCAAGACGACTATGCAGAGCGCTGGCTGGAATAAGCGCGACTGAGGCAGAGAAATCAGGGGCTTCCACAGTACTATCCACGATGCGTCTCGGTGGTGATGGTGGTGGTCCAGAAGCAATAAAGGTAGCAGCATTATTCTTGGAAATCGTGTAAACATCATGAAGCGTTGCACTGGAACACGGAAACTGATCAGGCAAATGACTGTAACTAATGTATGCATACTTGCCTGACGACGATGCTCGGGAGACCTCACCACCGAAGTCGACCGCAGGGCCAGAACGACTCTGATGGCAGGAAATAGAACGGCTTTGATGGCGAGAAACAGCTAGCGCGACTGGATCGAGTGGTTCGAGGTCTCCCATAATGCGACAGGCAGTGCGTTCTGGTCTACAGCGCTCCAATTCACAACACAAAATCCAATTCTGAATCAGCAGACTGGGTCTAGTCCGGAAATGGGAGTTGAGAACTCGGAAGGTCCCGGAATAGGAGAGATCGTGATGGCAGGCGTGTTCAAACGAGGCAACCACATGTTTTTTGAACCGTCTTCAAATTCACGGAACAAAATTCCTTTCGGCCATGTATCCGATCTAAGAGCAGCTTCGCGTAGTTTGGGATCCATTCCGACTTTGTACGAGATGAAGCTCATACGGCTGATGTCGGATCCTTTTTTGACTAGTGGCACAACCTTAATCGGATCTTCACACTGTACACAACCTTTGACCAGCTTCTCGATTGATTCAGATTTCACGCTAGGATGAATACGAGAAAGGTACAGCCAAAACAGCTCGCTGGGTTCAGGGACAGTAAGGACCTCGGTAAAGGCATTGTCGCCTGTTACTGCTTTAGAACCACCAACAAGTGGTTTGCTAGTGAGCGAGCCTTCATCGCGGCGCCGTTTTAATGGCGGTTGACGCATGAAATCGGAGTTTGTCGGAGTTGTCAATGCGATTCGTTTCGATAGCTGAGCGATCTGCTGTTCTTGCTTAGCCATTTCCTTCCTAAGCTCAGCGTGTGCGATTTCCTGTCTCTCGGTGATAGAATTAATCACACTGCCAAACGACGAGACGGCAGTTTTGAACCGAGCACATTTCATCAGCTTGGCGCACTCGTTACACATCCAAAACAGGTTCGGGCTAGTGTGGACAATATTCAAAAAAGCCTTATTCAGCTTTGTGCCGCCGCACTTTAGGTGAATCATCCTGTCGCAAAAAGCCATGCAGGAGATGGATTCTTCATCGCCTTTAACTGGTTTAGCGCATTGGTCTCAGGCGGAAGTCATGCTGACTCAGTTTCCAAAAGTGATTTAGAAACAGCGGTGGAGATGCTCTAATACGCAAAGAGGAATTGGATTCTGAAGATCGCCCAATGCTAGTCTGATATCGACAATAACACAACAGTATACACATGTCCGATTGAATAACTTTTTCACTGTTTTCACAACACAAAATATGCTCTAATTAGACGATTATTGCAACGAACTGCACTTTCCACTAACAACCAGTACAATATTACAGGTATACCGAACGGAAAAAAACGAATAACGATAGCCCGTGTGATAAAAAATCGACAAATTTAGCAGTGCACAATCACGACGATGTGAATAACAACAACTGTCAATACGAGTTATGAAAGTTTCAATACGAGCTATGAAAGTTTGACAGATAACATCAGGGGTGTGTGGATTCATGCAGAACATGCAGGGGTGAGTGAAATAGCTTGGGACTGCTTGGGACCGTTGTTCTGGTACTGAGTGAGCCAAAAATAATAATGATTTTCTTCGGGACCCAGTGGTCTTAGAGTTACCTCTATGGATGTACTTGGGACCGATAGGCTACCCGCATAAATGCGAACCATAATACTCATTAAAATTCATGTGATTTTGTGGTGGGATTTTTAGCTATGGGATCAGATGAAAGCTATGTGAAGTGCACATGGTTTTGATCCATTAGATACGTGATAATTTTTTTGAGTGTAGGTTACTGATTACCAAGTTGACCGATAATACTAAACCATTAATTGACCTTACTGACTACCATAATCATTATCATTAAAGTTCTCAAACCATAAGTTAAAATGTTCTAATATAGTTCACTCTCCGAAAATGTACACGGGTAGAAATCTCCTTATACCTCTCCAAAGGGGGAGTTTGGTAAAGAGAGATGAAAAAAACCGATTTGTACCTTCCTTAAAAGTTGTCCTAGCTCGCTATTCTAATATCTATATGCAATCTTCACACTGCCGTACTCTAACGGAACTATCAACTCTATGCTTTCATCTACTCCATCTATCGTATAAAAATTACTACTACAGTCTGTTATTTGAAATTAGCATCTTCAACTATGTAAATCGTTGACTTCACGTAGAAGTAATACTAAAACATAATATGTGCTAACATTTGAAAACGGCGCAAAAGCCATTTGTAAACAAATGGTTTGTGGTCCCTTTACTCGCTACCCGAAGAACGCCCACGCAAACCAACAGCATCGTCAGGAAGGGGAAAATTTCCCCTACCCGATGTTGCTGTTGTGTCGCGTGGTGTACTTCAAGTAGTGAGTAAAGGGCCCACAAACCATTTGTTTACAAATGGCTTTTGTGCCGTTTTCAAATGTTAGCACTGATATAGTCAAAATTTATATTACTGATTATTCATAAAATGTATAAGTCAACTAATAAGCAGACGCCTTGCAAAAAGTTAATGAAGATCATGTGTCAAATGAAATGTATAATCGGTCACACATACCTTTTATGCATTCATATAGGACCTATGTGGTTTGTCTTATGGAATGTATAAGGCTGATGTTTTGGCATAAATGTATAAGTGAAACACATGAATAAAATAATTGATTTTCGTTTCGTGTATGAAGAAAACAACGATTTTGAATAGAAATGGTTCTTAACAACCCATTATTTGTAAGGTTCACTTCCAAAGAACCATAATACAAAAGGTTAAAACTTTATCACACAAACGTTCATGTAAAGTTCCATAACCATTTCAGTTAAAGTTTAGCAGGGACCATAAAAATTACCACTTTAGTCTAATAGTTAATTTAGTCTATTATTTGAAATTAGCATCTTCAACTAGGGATTATAAGCAATATTTTACCATTTCGAGTAAGGTCAAGTTAAAATCGTTAGTTTCCACCGGTTGCTATTATGGAATGCTTAAGTTTATTTGCGTCAGTGTACAAGTCTAGTTACAAATCAATGAAATCTCGCGTCACTTTTCAAATAGACCAATGTAACATATCCACCATTTTGAGAAAATCGAAGTTGAAGTTCGACAGATTATTATTTTAACTGTTTAAAAACAATACATTTTGCAATACTATTTTTAATGTAGTCAGTGTATAATAACGTTGAAAATTCAGAAGAAACGGTAAAATCACAATTTTACTTTGAATTTCATGCTACAACATAGAAAAAAACCACATAGGACGTTTTAACAAGTCGAGTTGTACATCGGACTTGTTACATTGGACGATTTTTCTCAATGACATAATCAATGAGTGTTACATTGGACGTTTTGTCTACATGATACTAGATTCCCTTTCACAGATTTCAGAGTATAGTACCTAACTTTAGATTGGCCCCGCCTTTGGAAAATGAGCACCAATCATGTTAGGCAGTCCGAATGACCGAAGTAACAATCATGTATCCATCATTTCAAACTGTACATTGGACAATTTTTGATCAATGATTATCTTAAATAAATGAAAGTAAATTTGGATGGATGTTTTTGTATCACATACAATGACAGAAGAGCAATAGTTTGTATCGCTTAACTCGATTTGATTACATTTGTTAGAGCAACCGTAACGGTACGCTGCTAAACTCATTTTAGCAGCCCTCATCATAGCGCAGCTACCGTATCGGGGGTTGCCATACGAGTAACTAAAATAGCAGTCGGCTTCTCGGTGAGAAGCGCGCTACCAAATTTAGCAGCGCGATAGCAGCGCTGCAGAAAGGTTGCTATTCGTAGAAATGTAAAAATGCTCACTACCGGTACGGACTACGGCGAGTAAATTGATAACCGCGATAGCAGCGACCGGTGTAGGGAAGAGTGACTAAACTAAAATGAGAGCGCTGTGCGCTGTTAAAATAGTCGCGCAAATAACAACGACCGTTACGGTTGCTCTTACATTGGTCTATTTCAAAAGTGACGCGAGAAATAATCAATCAACTCCAGCACTGTTCCAATATGCACACAACCAACCACCGCCAACGTATTTTTGTAAACAAATCATACTGGTGTGCGTTAGTAGCGCTCTCCGCCAACACCAACACTAGTGAACACCGGTGTTTTAACTTTTACCGGAGCCTTTATTTAGCTGTCCTGTCAGTCAGTGGGCCAGTTTGCATTGCAAAATCGGCAGAAAAGTCAGCACCATCAGCGCTCGTTTGCCTGTGTGTTTTTATTTTATTTTCGAATCCACGATTCACGGTAGGGGAAAAAAAGATTTTCAAGTAAATCACTGTGAATCGCAACCGTCACGGAACATTGTGAGTAATAACCCCAAGAGAGGCAAAGTGCTGAAAGAAGAAACGCAAAATGCCCGGAGTTTTGGAGAAAACGGCAGCTGAAGCCGATAAACACCTGAGCGATATTACGGCCATCGTCAGCTTCCAGGAACACGTCTTCACTTCCGGCGGCGACGGTAAAGTGAAGGTAAGTTTCTCCGACATTCGGAGGATGACAAAATGTTGGTGACGTCCATCGATGATTCGAGAATCGCATAGAAGAAACTCGTCGCATTTGGCAACAATCGAGAACGGGTCTAAAAATAGATGCAAAATATGTTGATCTGAAATTTCTTCAAATGTTTTCACTTTGCATTACAGGGCATGAGTCAATTGTGTTGCATTACTTGAACATCCCTACAGAGTATGTGCACCCCTTCTGGGTTGTCATTCATTCTCTTGCCTCTCACTTCATTCATGCTTTTGTTGATTCATTGATAACTCTACTGCGTATCGAAGAGTACAGTTCGCTAGTGAATAAAGAGACTATTTGAGTGTTACTAAACTAAATCTAGTGTGTTTTATTAAAATAGAACATGGTGTCAGAAGTTACCGTGTGCTTCAAGTGAAAATTCGCGTCATTATCGAAATCGCGAATCGGAAATCGGTCCGGGGAAAATCGTTCTCAAGTCGCGTCGTGTCAGCGGCCATTTTGTATTTTTCGGTCGGGATCGGGAGTGAAGAGTGATTCGCTTAAAAATGGATGCAAATCAAATGAAAATGTTGTTGGAGCAACAAATGCAGATGTTTACGAAGATGATGGAGGGAATGCAAGCGACGCAGAATCAGGCTCAAGCGATGCAGCGGCCAAGTGCGTCGAATGTGCAGGTTCCGCAACCATCGCCGCTAGCAGTGGAAGGCGACATGCAGGAAAACATGGATTTTTTTGAGAAAAGCTGGAAAGACTACGCTAAGGCCATTGGTATGGATCGGTGGCCGCCAGAAGAAAACCCACAGAAGGTAAGCTTCTTGCTGTCGGTCATAGGAGAGCCGGCAAGGAAAAAATACTTCAACTTCGAGTTGACAGCAGCGGAAGGTGCAGATCCGGAGGCCACATTGGCCGCCATACGAGAGAAGGTTGTTGCGAAGAGGAATGTCATAGTGGACCGGCTCGACTTTTTCTCTACGACACAGCAGACTCGAGAATCAATCGACGATTATGCCTCTCGTCTCAAGACTCTGGCAAAAATGGCTAAACTCGGAGTGCTAGAGACGGACCTTATCGCATATAAGGTGGTCACGTCCAACAAGTGGCCAAGTATGCGATCAAAAATGTTAAGCATTGCAGACATAACATTGACGAAAGCGATAGACATGTGTCGAGCGGAGGAGATCACGACTAAGCGGTCCCAGGAACTTTCAGTTTTCTATCCGGAAGTAGAGGTGAACAAAGTCGCGAAAGCTAAGTTCCGTTCCAAGCCTCAATCACAGCGGTGCAAGTTCTGCGGAGACCGTCATGACTTCTCTAAAGGTTCCTGTCCCGCTCTTGGTAAGCGGTGCCATAGGTGCAACGGAAGGAACCATTTCGGAAAGGTATGCAAGGCCAGCAACAGATTCCAGAACAGGAAGTCTCGTAGGGTGAAGGAGGTGAAGGACGAAAGCACTGATTCGGAGGAGCAAGCACTTTCTTGCAATGAAGGTTCATCGGAAGCAAGCGAGGACGAATACGAAATCGGCAAGATTTTCGATAATTCATCGAAAGGAGGTGGCGTGATGGCTGAGTTGGATCTCAACTTTGATAACAAGTGGAAGTCAGTGATTTGCGAAGTGGACACCGGAGCTAATACCAGCCTGATTGGCCATAATTGGTTGGTCAAACTCACAGGAGAGGAAACCCCGCAGATGATGCCGTCGACGTACAAGCTCCAAAGCTTCGGTGGGAATCCCATCAAAGTGCTTGGGGAAGTGAAGATACCGTGCCGTCGGATGAAGCGTCGATACCGATTGGTTCTGCAAGTTGTAGACGTGGACCATTGCCCCCTACTGTCGGCAAAGGCATCACGTGTTCTGGGCTTCGTCAAGTTCTGCAAATCGGTCACATTCGGTAAGTCTGATGAAGCAAATTCGCCAAACTTGTTGAATGTTCACAGGATCGAAGCGGAGAAGATTATCCAAGGCCACAAAGGAATCTTTTCTGGTTACGGAAAATTTGAAGGTCAAGTATCGTTGGAGGTAGACCATTCTGTTACACCTTCAATCCAACCTCCTCGTCGTGTTCCGATCGCCCTGAGAAGCAAGTTGAAGAACGAATTGGAATCATTGGAGAAGGAGGGAATGATCGTGAAGGAAGCCAGGCATACCGATTGGGTCAGCAACATTGTGATTGTGCAACGGGGTGACCCGGAATCTTCAAGCATCAGAATCTGTCTTGATCCTATTCCACTCAACAAGGCGCTGAAGAGACCGAACCTACAGTTTGCTACACTGGATGAAATTCTTCCTGAGCTGGGCAAGGCGAAGGTGTTTTCTACTGCGGACGCCAAGAAAGGGTTTTGGCACGTAGAGCTCGACGAACCCAGCAGCAAGCTTACAACATTTTGGACTCCTTTCGGTCGGTATCGTTGGACTAGGCTGCCTTTTGGTATCGCATCAGCTCCTGAAATCTTCCAGACGAAGCTGCAGGAGGTTATCCAGGGTCTCGAAGGAGTCGAATGTTTGGCAGACGATTTGCTGATATTTGGAGTTGGGGAAACTTTGCAAGAAGCGCTCATTAACCACAACAGATGCTTGAAGAATCTTCTAATTCGCCTGGAAGAGCACAACGTAAAACTGAACAAAACGAAGCTCAAGCTCTGCCAAACGTCTGTGAAATTCTTCGGACATGTCCTGTCAAGCAAAGGTCTTCTACCAGATGAGTCGAAGGTTGCTACGATCCAAAATTTTCCTACACCTCTCAACCGGAAGGAAATACACCGTTTTATTGGAATGGTGAACTATTTGGGCAGATTTATTCCAAATCTTAGCAGCAACCTGACAAACCTTCGTAAGCTGATTTCAGATGAAGTTCCCTGGCGCTGGACGAATATTGAGGTGGAAGAGTTCAACCGAGTAAAGGGCTTGGTTGCAGACGTTGGAACCTTGCAGTACTATAACCCAAGAAAACCATTGACCATTGAATGCGATGCAAGTTGCTTTGGATTGGGAGTTGCTGTCTACCAGGATGAAGGAATAATAGGCTATGCCTCAAGGACGTTGACTGCGACTGAACGAAACTACGCGCAGATTGAGAAGGAGCTGTTGGCGATTCTGTTTGCGTGTGTTCGTTTCGACCAACTTGTGGTTGGAAATCCGAAAACGATTGTGAAGACCGATCATAAGCCCTTGATCAGCATTTTCCGGAAGCCTTTGTTGTCTGCTCCAAGAAGATTGCAACATATGCTGCTCAACCTACAACGTTACAATTTGGTAATTGAGTTCGTCACAGGAAAGGAAAATGTTGTGGCTGATGCGCTATCCCGTGCACCGTTCGATGACAAGGCAGTGAAAGACGAATATAACAAGATGCACATTTACAAAGTGTTTGATGATGTCGAAGGGTTGGAGCTTACGAAGTTTCTTAACATATCGGACAGTTGCCTGAACGAGATCATGGATGAAACGGTGAGGGATCCTTGTATGCAGAGCATCATCACTTTTGTTCAGCAAGGTTGGCCTGGAACGGCTGATAAAGTACCAGATGGACTCCGTGTGTATTTCGGGTATCGGGATGAGATATCAGTACAGGATGGAATCGTTTTTCGACATGATCGCATTCTTGTTCCACATGCTTTGCGAAGAGAGATGATCGAAAAGTGTCACGTTAGTCACAATGGGAGTGAAGCGACTCTCAAGTTGGCTAGAGCAAACCTGTTTTGGCCAGGCATGAGCAGTCAAATCAAGGATGTCGTGAAAGGTTGTCCGGTTTGCGCAAAATTTGCTTCGTCGCAGCCGAATCCACCCATGATGAGTCATCAAATTCCCCTGTATCCGTTCCAGTTGATCTCGATGGATGTTTTCTTCAGTGAGTTCCGTGGTCGCAATCAGAAGTTCCTGGTCACCGTCGACCACTATTCAGATTTCTTTGAGGTGGATATCCTAAAGGATCTGACACCGGAATCGGTTATAGCAGCTTGCAGTAGAAATTTCGCTCGACATGGAAAACCACAAACCTTGTTGACCGACAATGGAACGAACTTCCTCAACCAGAAAATGAGGAAGTTTGCAACGGAATGGGACATCAAACACATCACTTCGGCTCCTCATCATCAGCAGGCTAACGGGAAATCGGAGGCAGCCGTGAAGATTGCAAAGCGCTTACTGAAGAAATCGGAGGAAACCGGAACGGACTTCTGGTATGCACTTTTGCATTGGAGGAACATCCCGAATAAGATTGGCTCTAGTCCTGCTGCTCGTTTGTTTTCTCGTTCTACACGTTGTGGAATACCAACATCCGGGGCGAATCTTATGCCGAAAGTTGTCGAACATGTTCCTGAAGCAATCGAGGAGAACAGAAGGAAGATTAAATTGAATTACGACAGAAAAACAAGAAACCTACCTGACCTACAGACTGGATCACCCGTTTATGTGCAGATGAATCCGGAAATTTCAAAACAGTGGACGCCGGGAACCGTTGCCAATCGCCTCAGTGATCGGTCTTACACCGTGAATGTGAATGGCAGCAACTATCGTCGGAGTTTGATTCACTTGAAGCCGCGTAAGGAACCCGAATCGTCGGCAGAAAATTTAACAACAAACACAGTTCCAAAGCCATCGGAGGGAGAAAACGAAGAAGAAAATTGCAGTTATCCAGTTGACAGTTCTCAATCAGTTCTCACCCAGAATTCTCACAACAAGTCACCAGCTCAGGCAGTGGTGCCAGTTTCGACTTCGCCGATTCTACCGATCGCAGCGCCTCGTATGTGTCAGTCACCGAAGCCTAAGGAGAATTTGAATTCAGCATCCAGTTCCATCAACAGTCGTCCGAAACGGGTGTCTCGTATTCCAAAGAAGCTGATGGACTATGTTATTGAGTACAAGTGATGTTTTGTTGAAACAGGGAGGATGTTGCATTACTTGAACATCCCTACAGAGTATGTGCACCCCTTCTGGGTTGTCATTCATTCTCTTGCCTCTCACTTCATTCATGCTTTTGTTGATTCATTGATAACTCTACTGCGTATCGAAGAGTACAGTTCGCTAGTGAATAAAGAGACTATTTGAGTGTTACTAAACTAAATCTAGTAAAATAGAACAAATTGGCTTTCAAATATATATATATTTCCAAGAATTTTAATTTGGACGGTCACCAACATTACAAAACAAACATAAGTCAAGTTAGCTGATAACATGAATCCTCCCAAACCAGGTATGGACTAAAGATCTCACCCTGAAGAAGGAAATTGCCGTCCACGAGGCATGGATCTACGCGATGGCCGTCGATTTCCAGGGTACGATATACACCAGCAGTAGCGATGGAACAATCCGTTGTTTGCCGAATCCGCTGCAATCCGACGAGGTAAAAGAACTGCTCAAATGCGGCGACGAAATCGAATCCCTGTTTGTAGATAGCAAAGATAACCTTTACAGTGGCGATGATAAGGGAATCGTTACGATGTGGATGAATCAGAAGATAAAGTTTAAGTTCAATCTGGCCGAAGAGGTCCGATCGTTGGCCATCCAGAACAACTTTATCTACTCGATTCGGGACAATGACCTAACCATTACGGAAGTGATGGAAGGATCGGCTACCGGTCGCTACATGACCAAGGCGAGCATTCCGGGGAAAAGTCCTGTTGCTCTATGCGGTAGCTGTACGAATGCCGCCTACAATAACGTAGCGATCGCAACGCGCGATGGACTTGGAATAGTTTTTATCAGAAATAGCGCCAAGGAACAATTTCCAGTTTTGTGGACCAAAGAAGTAAGACCTCTTCCATCTGACCACCATTCATCAGACAATTCAAAATCTTTAATGTTCTCTTCAACAGAAAGCTCACGACATGATCATCAACTGTCTATTGGGAGCAAACGAATACCTTTATACGGCTGGTTACGATGGTTTCGTTAAACAGTGGGCTAGTGTGGACAAGGATCCTAAACTGCTGGCAGAGGTGAACCTCGGCGGTGGTTGTTTGAACGCCCTCTTGTTGGGAGCGGACAACTCGACCGTCTATGCCGGTGGAAGCGATGGAATCTTGAAACTGGCCAAATTTTCCTAGTACTAGGCAGCTAGAGGCTGTAGCAGATCGACACAGCAAAAGTGCCATCAAACCAAAAAGCTTGCCAGAAAATAATCATAGGTTTCCGTTTTCAATTCAAATGCGTTTTGTCAATCGCGTGAGATTCCCGGAGCGGGAATCCCGGTAAATTAGGCTTTTGTTTTGTTTTCCACATAATGGTCATTGAAAGCCACCAGAGAGAGTAAGCCAAAGTAAATTTGTTTCCTAAAAATAATATGATACAGTGTTAGAGTGATCATGGATGAAACTCTGAGGGTTAATAAAACTCGAAAACTTTATATACGCGAAATGCGTATCAGCTAAAGCGTTGTCCAGACTGAGCAGTTATAACAGGTTATAAAGGTTGTCAAATAATTGCAACACAGAAACCACCATCAAGATAGCGCTATAACATGTTATAACTCTGTAGTCTGAACGTACTATAAGCATGAATCAGAAAAGAAATCCATTTGATATTCGCTGACAGTCCGTACGAATCTACACACAGCCACAGAGAACAGACATGGAGGCTCGAACAAAATTTCTCTAAAAACTTGTGTAAAGATTCCTATTCGACTTAAGCACCACTAACGGCGACTTCCCCACTTAAAAACCCTCTTTGACAACATGATGGCGCTGGCGTTGCACAAATTACACTAGACACTTGTGTTTATTCCACTTCTCGCGCGAGTCGAGATGACCATTCTCGTTTCCTTCTCGCGTGACAATTCTCACTCTATTCCGAATGTCGACTCGCACGACGCGAGTTGTTCATTCTGCATCGAGAGGAAGGATGAATCGACAGCGAAGTGCTGTTCATTTCTAGAAACGTCAAACTGAAAAAGTTCATCGCTCAAGCTATGATAAGGGCGTATGCAGTATTTTCAAACAAAACAGTAATTTGATTTTGGAATAAATATCAGTTTTTTTCAATAAATAAAATCATAGATACGAATAAAAACAATAGAGCATACGTTTTTCTATCATTTGGGAATTATAACTTAAGGTTCTAAGTAACTTTCTTTGCCATTTCGATAGCCCGACCGGTTATGTAATTTGGTCCTTGTTTGAGAGAGGTGGAGGTTGGTTGTTGTTAATCCGAAGATCGTTTTTTTTTTAGAATCATCCAATGGTGGTCAAGCCCGGTGTTTAGACCACAAACCGACCAACGCAGATTTGGGCCATTCCGATGTTCGAATGGTCGAGTAAACGTCACGGTATTCGTACGTGAAGTACGGATTACTAAATCAACTTTACGATCGCAAGAATATGGAGGACATGTAAGTTGAAGTGGTTAAGGCAATTCGGGAAGGAATCTTCTAAACTAGGTGCTTAAATTTCCAGATCAGAGGAGGTAACAGCGAACCATGTACGATCTAGCTGTAAATCCAACCCGGTGAAGAATCAGAGTTTACGAGGGAATAGCAGTAATCTAGATGTACCGGCAAATGACGGATAATCCCAGCAGAGATTTGTTGATGCGGGGATGGAAACTGCTGGCAATCTGTCTGTCGTTTGATCCACCATCACTCGAGCCGTCACCATCATTCCAACCGACACTACTGGCTACAGTAATCGGCATCAGGATCCAACGTTTGCCATCAGTTTTATAGTGGCTGGTATGTGGCCGGTCCATGTGCAGACTTCGCATTATGCAACGATCATTTGTCACTGCGCGTTTTCTTATAATTTAATAATAAATGAATTTGCCGAAAGCATCTTAAAAAAAAAGAATAATAGTATCCATGGAACGAAAAAGAAACAGAAAATGCATTCCCCGAATAAACTGAATGTATCCATCGATCGTTATATACGTTACGTATAAACCATTGTTATACTAAGTTCGTATTCTCTCGTTTTATACCGATCGATGCGTCGGTCAGGAGAGTTACGATTTAGCGTAGCTTATATACTAATTAGATTCACAAATTTTCTACGTGCGCTTGGCACGGAAAACAAGATCGACGGAAAAAAAATTGGTGGGGTTGTGTACAAGACACGACTGAATGGTTGACGTAGACTACGTTGAGATGTTTAGTGAACTTCTAGTGCATTTTTTTAGTGAGCGAAGAAGCGACAGCAAAGCCCTTATATAGTTTTACAGGTTCAAGCAATACTAAAGCATGGGTTATAATTGATTAGGTAGATTAGAGATTTCAATTATTTTTTTAAATAAGTCTAATGAGATATCATAATCATCAAAAGAACTTAAATAAGAAAATTTAGACAGCTCAATAACATTAAGTAGATTAACAAAATAGTAACGATGCAGGGGGTCCGCTTAGGGAGGCAACTAGCAACTAAACTTTTCATTTATTGTCTGTTTATTTTGATAATTGCTTTAAAATATCAATTTGGTATGTATGTGAAAGGATAAATCAGCGGGAGATTGATTTTCGGCTTCTTTACATTTTGCAGCACAAATCTAGTACTATGTTTGTCATTTCCTCAAAACCCCTCAAATCTTCAATCTCTTCCTTTCCCCATGGCGTTCAAATGGTCCGCATAGACTATTCAGCTATTACCCTTTCTTTATCCTTGGCTTTGGATTGACTTGCGCTCCCCCATTGCCCCACCAAACGCAGCAAAATGAAAAAAAATAATAATAATAAAATAATGATATGATATTACTATTTTTATATATCAATGAAATAAGACATAACAGAATAACAGAACGAGTTTAAAAACAGATGGGGAAGGACAATAGACACAAGTTGACACAATACACAAGACAAAATTATAAAAAAAGTGACGACAGAAGACATGACAGGGACAAAAATCCGAGGGGGGCGACACATCTAAATCTCAATTTTAGATGCTCTACAAATCTCACACTAGCGAATCAATCTTCGAAAAATCTTCTTTCATTTGTCGCATCTACTTGCATCGCGCATCATCTTTTTGCAGGAAATCTTCAGAATCGTCATCAATCTTCTTTCTATCTACTCAGCGTGCGCGCAGCTAGCCACAGCAAAACACAATCTTTTCTGCATCGTAGATAGAGTCGTCCCCCTCGCAAAAATCAAACTTTTAAAAAAACCAGAATGCGCAATTATATTATCGAAACTATTTGGGTCAACACAAAAACAACAGTGACCAAACGGGCACCATAGCCTAGGAAAGTCTGTGTGTTGATTTAAAATAGATGCTCATAGAAGTAAAACTTATCAATAAAAGGGGTCCAGTGTAGAGTTTAAGCAAGTGTATGCTGCCACTGTGATCACAAAAACAAAATTATATCTGTAGAAGAAACCAGTTCACCTTTTTTTTTTGCAAACCTGGTTAAAAATTTTTCATTAAATTATTTATAGATAAATCGTCTAGTTTTTAAGTCCCAAAGAACCCTACGGAAGAAATCTGGGATTAATTCACAGTATGTGGAGTTATGAGCTAAATAAGATCTGGGATTGTGAGGTCATGTTTCAAAATGGCAAAATTCATGTGTGGGATACATAAAAACAATCTTTGAATTTTTATCAGTGAAAAATAATATAATTCGACAGTGAGCATGCATAAGGACGTATACGCGATGATCGATTCTCTTCATCGATTTTCTCTTTGCATTGCTACAGCTAAGCGAAACAATTTCCTAGAAGTTTTTCAATGCAGAGTTGTAACAGGTTGTATTGGCTATCGAAAGCAACAGCAAACGTTTCTCGGTACGTTAATTCTAGCAAGTTATTAACAAAAGAGAAAATCGACGAAGAAAATCGATCATCGCGTATACGCCCTTATGTATGCTCACTGTCGAATTATTTAGTAAAAATATGTTCAAAAGCATAAAAAAATAAAAACTTGTCGCTTCACTTCCTTTTTCTCGCTTTTCAAACGTTCTCGATTGCTTCTGACGTATCGACAACACTCGCATGAAAACGTTTGTGTTTATTCCACTTCTCGCGCGAATCGAGATGACCATTCTCGTTTCCTTCTCGCGTGACAATTCTCACTCTATTGACGAGTGCACGGATGGATTTGAGTTCACTCACTCGACAAAAAGTGACACAACAGCGGGGCCCTGTTTACTAAAAATGAACACATGAATTATACTCACGTAACATTTGAAAAGGGTCTATCAACTTATGTACACAAAACTTGTTAAGCCTTTTTCGCGCGAACCAAATACGCTCACGTAAACTAACAACACCATCGTGCAGAGGAAATTCTCCCCTTCCCGATAGAGCTCTTGGTTTGCGTGGGCGTACTTCGGTTTACGTGAAAAGAACCTAGCAAATTATTTACAAAAGTTGATAGGCCCTTTTCAAATGTTACGCGAGAATTATTCATGTGTTCATTTTTAGTAAACAGGGCCCCGCTGTTGTGTCACTTTTTGTCGAGTGAGTGAACTCAAATCCATCCGTGCACTCGTCAATTCCGAATGTCGACTCGCACGACGCGAGATGTTCATTTTGCATCGAGAGGAAGGATGAATCGACAGCGAAGTGCTGTTCATTTCAAGAAACGTCAAACTGAAAGAGTTCATCGCAGCAGCTATGATAAGGACGTATGCAGTATTTTCTGATAAAACAGTAATTTTATTTTGGTATAAATATCAGTTTTTTCAATAAATAAAATCATAGATACGGATAAAAACAATAGAGCACACGTTTTTCTGTCATTTGAGAATTATAGCTTAAGGTTCTAAGTAACTTTCTGTGCCATTTCGATAGCACCACCGGTTATGTAATTTGGTCCTTTTTTGAGAGAGGTGGAGGTTTGATGTTGTTAATTCGAAGATCTGATTTTTATGTGAATCAACCAATCGTGGTCAAACCCGGTGTTTAGTGGAGTGAGTTTTCTGTTTTTTTTTGGTTTTCTTGACCTGGAAAAAGTTTGCGTTGCGCGGTACGAGAGCTGCTATTATGATTGTCGTTCTCAATTTCTTCTACCATCTCGTCAACTGGGTCCTCTCCTTCAGTCGGGTTGCCGTGAGCTTCCATTGTACTGGAGAGAACTGGCAATCCCGGTGATGACGGAATAATACGAGGCTGACTGGGACCTGGTTCAGGACATGGTGGAAGTTACAGTTACAGGCAGACCAAATCTAAAACCATGAAATGAATGTATTGTACATATCCAAACTGATGATTAATACAGAAAGATTAACCCTCCGTTACTCGTGCAGTTGTACTTTGTACAACACACATGAGTTTTCCATTGCCATTTTGTTGCTGAGTTACCAATCGATCTGAAACCCACGAGTATTCCTCAAAATACTTGTTTTAATCGAAACAAGCAAAACTTTGATTACAGTAAACACCTAAAAATGTGGATAATAGGGAAAATGTGAATGTAAACCGCGTAAACTGTGACCATACTACGTAGGATTTGACTTCATTGATTACAACATGGAATAAATCGAGATCCTGACCAGATAGAAAGTTACTGTCTCCGACAAAGTTGTTCAGGGCTCATAGTCTTGTCGCTGGCAGACAGTAGTTCAGAATTTTCTCACTAAGTAGCGCTAGTATACATGTGAAATGCGCTAAGCCTGGGGGTGTGTAAGTAGTGGTATCCGATGCATCCTTCGACAAACCCAACTAATGAAATGATTCAAATGAGCAAAATATATTGGGCAGTATGGAAGAGCGCTACTTCGTCGTAATCGCCCATTTCCGTTCTATCGAGCAGAAATCATCAATAATATCAATGATTTCACCATACAAAAAACACTAATACGTTTGATCCGATGCGTTAGCTCATAAGTCAAAAATATATCCATTTTTATTTAAAAATCATTTCTCTTCCAGCCAACCCTTTACTAATTCAAGGCTTTTGCCACAATTTCCACGTATTAGTCATTTATACCTGTATTCCGCCAGCGTGGCTCAAACCATTGTAGACAACTCAAAGCTATTTTTACTATTACTACTACAAAATCAAAAAACTAAAAACCATCGAGGCAAACAATGTAGTTTTTTGTATATGCTACACAAATTACTAAAATGTCTTTATGACAGTCTCCATACAAAATAATCCGTTAGCGATAACTTTGTCAAGATACATGATTTATCCATTCATAAAAATTTAACAGCTCAATAAACAGCTTTTACATGTGAAATGCAGCGTCTCTTAAATTCTGTAAATGTAGTTGCACGCTTGATGTGTCTAGGCATCAAATTGAAAACATTTATACCTTTGAAAAAAAAATGAATTTTGTAAAGAATTATTCAAAAGATGTGGTGTTCTTACTTCATCCGCGTTTCTAGTGTTATATCTATGAAAATCACTTCCTCTTTCAATCCGATCACACAAATATCGAGGCAGCAAACCGTTAACTACTTTAAAAATGAACACCATAGTCAAAAACACAATTCTTTGCTCACTGACAGCCATTGCAAAGCGTTCAGCATAAAAGTTGAGGAAGTGAATCTATTACATCTTAAAATCAAACGCATTACTTTATTCTGCAAACGCTGTAATTTCGATATTTGTGTTGCATTGGCCAAAAATAAAATGGAAGGGCAAAAGGGGAGATGATTGATTTGTATAACTGTATTTTACAACCAATAGTTAAATCGTTTTTTAAGCGACATAGAATTCCATACTTCTTGGCAATTTTCTTGATGACATTGTCAATATGAGAATTGAACTTGAGTTTGTCATCAATAATCACGCCAAGATATTTAATTTCCTGAACGCGATCAATTGTTTCATCATCAAAAACAACAGATACATCATCATCTACACGATTCCGCGAAATTATCATGAATTTAGTTTTACTTATATTCAATTTAAATTGTTTATACTTCAACCATCTACTTAGAGAACGCAAATCTTCATTCAAGCGTGAAACGGCTTTTTCTAAATCTTTAGATGCAATGAACTATCGTCAGCAAAAAGATTAATATCACAAAACCGTAAAACTCGTCGCATGTCATTAATATACATAATAAATAAAAGGGGCCCTAATACACTTCCCTGAGGCACTCCAAGGTCATTGTTAACGGGACAAGATACAAAATCATTAAAAACAGTCCTTTGTGTTCTGTCAGATAAATAGCTTTCAAACCATTTGTATGCAGAACCCGAAATTCCAAAGCACTAGATTGTTCTCAACATTAAGGGCCTAGAAATTGTCTCAAAAGCGCGTTTTAGATCCAAAAACACAGCAAAAACCGTATCTTTATGCTTCAAATTTTCTTTCCATTTAGCTAACACCACAAACGAAGTTACAGACGACTAACTGGCGAAGAAATCCATTAAAATAATGTGGTTCACTGTAATAGAATTTCCTTGGAAGCTTGTGCCACCATCCACCAGATGGGTTAGTTTTTTTGTTTTGATTTGAACAAAGTTGATTTTGTGTACAATGATTCTTTGACAGTGTGCAAAGAGTGCGTATCATTTTGTCATTTTTTTATGCATTTCAGTTTTGAGTAGAGTGAATGAGATAGAACCAAAACATTCTAGTACATTTGGTGAAAATGCTAGTTCAATCTAATAGTAGTGTTGCCATGTGGTACAATCCAGTAGTAGTGGTGTTGCCATGTGGTACACTGAAAAATTGCAATAGCAGGTTAGTCACCAAAGTTTTCGAGCCGCTCCGTCTGTCACTTCGTTTGTGCTAACACTAAGTTTAACGCGGTTTCACAAGAATGACCTTCCCGGTATCCCGATTATTCCAGTATCAACAAACAGTTACTATTTCAATATTCTAACAGCTGGCCTTTTACAACAAGTTCTAAAATTTTCTCTAATGTGTGCAACATGTTGATGGGACGAAACTCTTCGGCTTTAATCGTCCCAGCAACTTTTAGTATAGGAAGAACTAAAGATTCTTTCCAAATATGCGGCACGTGCCCAGATTACAATGATTGATTAATGAAGTCCCGCAGCGTGTGTCGAATGACATGAAAGCAATCTTGAATAACTCTAGCATTAACATTTTCTACGCCAGCCGTTTTTCCTAATGAAAAGCAAATATTTTTAAGTTCATCTAATGTAATTGGGTGAACACCATTAAATCTACAATTACTATTAATCGGCTGTTTTATTCCGTCCGGTTCATTGATCAGTTCAATAGATTGATTGATCAGTGAAACGCTCTCGACGAAATAGTCATTAAACTTAGAAGCAATTACTGGTTCTGACTGTTCTAATATGCCATCAAAAGTTATGGTCCGCGATTTACAATTACTAGGCTTCATCAAAGACTTCAAAATTTTCCATAACTCTTTGCTGTTGTTTTGTAGCTGATCAATTTTCCTCTGAATATATTCACATCGAGTTTTCTTTTGTTCAACTAATTTATTGGTACAAGTTTTCAATACGTTAGTAAGAACAGCTGCACCTTCATCTAAAGTTCCGGTAAATAATGGAAAATCCACGCTTCTATCAACAAGATTCGACAGCTTGCTTCGAATATTTCGTCCATTTCCTCGGAAAGCAAACTGCTTTTAGTTCGTCACACGGACTCTACAATAATATAATTTTATTACCAAAATATTTTCTAAAGCATGAAAAATAAAAACTTACCGTTTCACTTCCATTTTCACGCTTTTCAAACGTTCTCGATTGCTTCTGACGTATCGACAACACTCGCATGAAAACGTTATTCCGATACGAGTTTTGTCGATATACATCGACTATGGGAATACACCGAAAGTTCATCGGAGTTCATTCGTATCGACAATTGTCACTCTATTCGAGAACGGGAATTGGGTGACACATACGACTCGACTCTCTACGCGTGACGCGAGAAGTGGAATAAACACAACTAAATGCTAGTAGCGCCAAGTGGCAATTTTCAACAGAAAATTTATCGATACTAGCGCCAAATTGGTTGAAAGTGGAAAATTTATTGAGAAAATCAGGAGATGCTAGCACCACGTAACGGCGACGTTTCCACTTATTTTACACAAGTTTCTGACCGAGCTTGAACGTCTGTTCTCTGTGCTGAAAATTAGCTTTTTGAACGGAGCATGCACGCAGAAAATTGGATTTTTGTTTCAGGGTCTAATGTATTTTGTTATTGATTCAAACATATTATATCACTATTTCAACGAAACATATTTTTGAATCAACAAAATGGTTTTTAGAATCAACAAACAGATTATTGACTCTACAACCGGTTTGTTGATTCAAAAATATTTTTCTTTGAACTAACCGAATAATATATTTGAATCAATACCAAAAATATATTAGGCCCTGAGCCAAAAATATATCCATTTGAATTTAAAAATCATTTCTCTGTGTGTGGGAGATGAGTGAAAAGAACTTAATTTTGGGTAATTTTTCGGTTCCGTGTTCCCTCTGTCCTTTTATTTCACGATTGCTACTGTCAAATCAGCCAATCAGAAACTGGCTCGGATTTGACAGCAAATTGGCCCGAAATCGCTACCCGATTATCAAGTCCCGTCCCAGTTCTGACCTTGGTTCTGACGAAGCTTCTGACATTGATATCTTATACGATGGATCAAATACATCGTACAAGCTGATTTGTTTCAGTGTACCAGTTATTATCTGTTATTAAATTATTTATTAGTCATTCCCGCGGTGTTCTGCTACTCGCCGTCAGCATAGTGTAAGCGTGCCTACCAGCAGCTGGTGCGACTAACCAACGTTTTTCCTCCGCTAATAATAATTCCAATCTTATCAGAAGAAGCCAAACGAACTAGAACGTCGTGTGATGGCCCAGAGGGTTGGTACAGTTCGTCGGAAAGTCGAATGTCGCAGAATGTCCGACATGGAGACCATCCGGCTCGTGAAACTGTACCGGGCCAACCAGTGCCTCTGGAACCATTCCCATGTTCATTATAAGCTGAAAAATCGGCGCATCGAAGCGTACGAAAACCTGATGGTGGAAATGGACATGGAATCGGTAGACGAAGTCAAGAGAAAGCTCAAAAGCATCCGTGACACATACACGGGGGAGAAGCACAAAATGCTGAAATCCAATTATTCGTATAAAACCAAACTGGTTTGGTATCCGATTTTGGATGAGTTCATTTCGAAATGTGACAGTGGCCAGCCTGTATCAAAAGCGTCGTCTCCGGAAGTTTCGATGGAGTCGCCGATTGTTTCGAGGCGAAAGCGAAAATATAAGTCTGACGAACGCTTTCAACCGACGCTGAGAATGCCTCGACAAGATCTAAGTGATCCCCTACAACAGCACGACGTGACGGATGAGTTTCACTATTTTGGCCTCAGCATTGCTAGCCAACTGAGAAGCATGGCCCGATTGGATGCCTTGATCCTGCAGGATAGCTTACAGCGGATTATGTCAGCGAAAAGGATCGAAATTGCCAGGAGGGATTTGACCGCTGAGAGTTCGGCAACGTCCGAGGCGGATGATATTATGATTGAGATTCCGCAAACGTTTTCCGAGTATAGTCTTTTGCCGGATTCGTCCATCAACTACCGCGGTAACGATGAGGCTGAATAGAAACATTTTGGATCTCAAGCGAATTTACGTACGCGATTTTATAAAACGTTCTACAATTTATTCACAAACATACAAAACTATAAAATGATACTTTTAAATACACTAATTTCTTAATAATTACTTATTCTGAGGACTAATTTACTGCTCCACACTTGCCTTGCTTTGGTTGTGGGTTGAGTTCTCGGCCGCATCCTTCCTGACGTCGTCAGACAAGTTGCATTGAATCATAATCGTTTCCTCATCCGAAGATACGCCCTCATCCGTCGCTTCGTTCTTTACTGCAAATCCTTCGCCCGATCCATCCTCTTTTTGCCGGGAGGTTTCTTCAACTGAGTTCGGCTCACTACCACCTTCCGTAATCTCCTCAATTCGATTGGTGGTCTGCTCACTTCTGGAATTGTCCCTTCGTGGTCGGTTAATATTGATGCTGATGTTGAATGGAGCCTGCCGAACATCTCCTTGACCTGCCTGTTCCCCAGTCCTAGGCCTTGTAATTACATCTGCCAACAATCTACCGCTTGCGTACAGCCCGTACTTGATCCCAACGGTCATCAGGAGGTATAGCAGGAAAATTATGAATCCACTAATCAATAATGTTTCCACTACACCAGACGAAGCCGTGCTAACTTTGAAGATGGAAACCATCTTCAGGACGAAGGTTTCGAAGTACTGCAGGTGCAGTTTAGCCACCATTTCGATAAATACCTCCGAGGGGTCGCAGAAATTCCGCTTCAGGCTGTACTTTTCCCGAAGGTGCTCAATACATTCTGCTTCGTTGTCCTTATGTAGCAGTCGGTTCAGCCATCCCGATCGGTGGTGTTTGCCGCAAGGATTCGAACCGTCTGTGTTCATCAGCTTAGTAAGCGATTCCAGTTCCAGTTGATTGTTGCAGTCGCGATAGGTTAAAACGTAAGTTATCAGGATGCCAAGGACGGGAATCAAAACCCACAGTCGCATACCCAAAAGTCTACCGATGCTTAGCAGGAAGAGAATAACAACGACCGGAACAAACACGTACAGGAAGATGGAACTCTGCATCGCACTGCCATACCAGGCAAGAATATTCCAACACAGATTCTCTGCCATGGACTGATAGAAACTGGTTCCTGATTGTTCAACGATGCTGGTTACCACCGCATCTATCTCACGAGCAGTTTGCGCCTCTTTCAGCTGCCTAAGCTGCTGCTCGGTTATCTTGAACTGAACATTTCGCAGTTTAAAGGAACTACTCTCCTCATCCACCTCCAACTTACTTTCATCGAAAAGTCTGATAAGAAACTTTCTGTAGAAAATCAAAGCCAAACGATTGTTTTCCTCTTCGGTTGGAATCTGCTTGGTTGACGATTCCCCAGTACACTCGGAAACCGCCGGACACTGGCACTCTTCTGCAGTAGTAGGGACTTCTGCATGACGATGGCGATTGCCTCTCCAGCCTGGCTTTACCCAGTTTGGATTGATGATGTCACTATCATCGGCTGCCGTCAATTGCACCGATAATGAAGAGATGATGATAATCAACGATGTTATTAGCTGCAATTTTTCTACAAGTAATCAAAAGGGTTACTAGAAATGTAATGATGAAATACAAACATTACAACATCAGGCAGGTACCTTTCATCATTTTCTGAACACTCAGTGGACTGTGCTTCTGCCAGGTTCCCTATAATAGAAATCGATTGTGAAACACTGTAATTTTTATTACACTTTGTGAACCGTGAGCACATTCAAAACATGAATTTTATTGCGTATTTTGCACAGCATTGAACCTACCTATATGCTGCAAAATATGCAATATAGTTTATTTCCCTAACCAGGATTTCCGAAATGCTGCTTGCATCGATTGCAACGGCGCGAGTCGAGTTGAGTGCAACTGTTGCAACTACTTCAAAAGTAAACAAAATAATGCTGAAGGTAGACAATGAGGTACAGAGAGAGGTGAAGCAGATCGTGAAATATTGTTGGATTAGTAAACCAAAAAATCAACGTAAACGCAAGTAGTGACGTCACTAATTGCTTGTATCGTACAGGGGTTTTACTCACACAACTTAACCGATTGCTTCACCTCTGTAATCCAGCTCATTGGAAGGTAGATCCACTCGCATACTGTGGGAGCTTAGCTCAATGACATTTATATAAGGTCTGGGCCAACAGGCAGCTTGCTGGTGTTAGAAGCAAAAATGTTGTAAACATTGCTGAACATCTGCGAACAGATAGATATACGTCACTGCCAACATACTGAGAACAGATAGAAATACGTCACTGCCAACAGCTGTTTCGTGTAAAAAGATAAACATTGCAATAAAATACGAACACCACTAAACATTTGCACATTTCACTAACACCAATAAGCCCTTTGGCCCAGACCTTATATAAACGTCATTGAGCTTAGCTTAGCTTAGCTTAGATTGACTGCACATATCAATGGTTGCTACTCCGTGATTGATCAGAATCAGTGAAATTGTACAATGAATCAATTGAATGGGGCTGGGAGTGACCGTCCATTCTCATTGTACAAGTTTCAGTGACTCTATATTTTGTAGATCAATAACGGCGCCGGCCACGTCCTTGCAATCAGGTGGGAGTAGGGAAGGAATATTAGAGTGACCTTTGTTGTTTGTGGGCCGTATTTACCTCTGCACCCCAACAAAAGACACAGGAAAGAAGATTTTGTTAGTAAGTTGGGTTCGTTGGATCAGGATTCACCTTGATAAGTGATGCGACCATGGTTTTAAATGAATCAGTGTTATCATGCATTATACTTGGATTTGCCCGAAGCCAAAACCAAATGGTGTATCATTGGGCCTTATTACGGGTGTCACTACACGGTGATAAGCAAGTTATACTCAGAATAAGAGCCGTGATTACCGTACAAATCAAATGGGAATCACTTCACCGTGACGACAAGTGACAACTTTTCACCGTGATGTGACATCTGTAATAAGCCCCATTATAATATAAATCTGAAGACGTTCCATCATCGAAATGCTGAAAATAAACTTAGAGCATGAGCATGAGCAAAATTGATCGCCCGCGACTGCCAACACCAAAGCTAGCTGAAAACCACTTCAAACAAATCAAATCAACAGACAAAACCAGGGTGAAAGCTGTAAGAGTGAATCATTACAGTATAAATCTAATGATGTTCCGATAGCGAAGAGCTGGAAGAAAACTCAAATAATTTAAATCAATAGATCCAGTCTGAATGGAGGCTGTAAAAAGAGAAAAATTATACAGCAATGACCCCATTTTGTCAGCTAGCAAAGTATGTGTACCTTAAACATTCATCTTAAGGAGGAAGGTATGAAATTACAATTATGTGGAATTATTGAAAAATAACAGTCTGATGCGCGGAGAGGTTGACAGGATCGGGTCATAACTGTAATGTTAATATTAGGAAGATTTATCATCATCAAACTATTCTTGAATTAACCTGCAAGAATGCTTGTGAATAATTGTTATACAGATAAATTAAATTGATAAACTAAATGGTTCAAACAACAACTCCAGCCTGTAGAAAAGCTGAAAATAGGGAATCTTTACAATGTGGATCCCCCACGGTCTTCTACTCAGTAAGCAAAAGCGGCAGCCACCAGGCTAGTCGAGCTGCTCAATTTAAATATTGGGACCTTATTTTGTGAAGTTCTTAAGAATACTGATTGAAACACAATGTAAAAAAATAAAAGTTAAGAGTCTCATCCGAATCAAATTATTCCAAACGATACGCATTCATAGAAATTAAGTTTAAATAGACAAAAGTAGAAAAAAGGAACAATCTCACCAAATCAGTCCAACTGAATCCCTTGCAAGCAGCTATGTCACGCTTGGTGCACGCTAAGATCAGTTTACCCAGACGGTACAAAGAGATTACCGAGATTGACCGTAAATTGCACAAACTCACATATGGGTAATTTTTTTTAACCCAAATATGGGTTCTTATGATCCATAAATGATTTATTTTTATGCAAATTTGACTTAAATTTACCCATATTTGGGTTAAAAAATTTACCCATATCTGAGTTTGTGCAGTTTACGCCTGATTTGCGTAAAGTAAACCTACATTTGGGTTATCTGATCTTAGCGTGTGTAGTAGCTCCGATCATAGACCCGCCCTACGGGGATCTATCCTCTGGTCGAATGTACTCGATTGCTCTATGACGCGAACACGAAGCGACCGCTCACAAAATCATACAACGCGTAAACAAACTGAAAATCAAAAACTATCACTCGCGACGCCACAAATTTCTGTACCGGGAGCACAAGCGAAGAAAAAAACAAACAACGCAGATAGCGACATCTCTTCTGATGTCTGCAAACATGATGCATCACGTTTTCTTTTTCGATTCCAAAACTTCTCGGAAAGCGAGAAAACCACCAATCACACACGTATAACCGTCCAGGACATGGTGGGTATATAAATGGTGATACAGCTTTGTCAATATATAGGCGAGGAGGTCGCGGGGTGGAAAAATGCGGTTTTAGAGCAAATTGTAAACAAACTCGGTCGCTGTCCCATACAAAAATCCAACATGGCTGAATCACGAATTTGACACATTAGAACACCTATATGTAGCCACCTTGGTCCAGGAGGCAGAGTGCCAGCGTTTATCTGGCAAAATCAGTGAACGCACGCACAAAACAGAAACAAACACAACCGTATCCGAAGAGGTTCGAAGCTGAACTCTCTTTTCAGTGTAATTCCTACAATATGTTACTAACTGCGAATCACCACAGAGAACAGACATGGAGTTGCGCTGGCGTTGCACAAATTACACTAGACACTAAGTGCTAGTAGCGCCAAGTGGCAATTTTCAACAGAAAATTTATCGATACTAGCGCCAAATTGGTCGAAAGTGGAAAATTTAGAGAGAAAATCAGGAGATGCTAACACCACGTAACGGCGACGTTCCCACTTATTTTACACAAGTTTCTGACCGAGCTTGAACGTCTGTTCTCTGTGGAATCACTTAATAACTTTTACATTTGACCGAACACCTTGCCCGTTTTCATACGAAAAAAAAAACGAGCGATAAGAACACTCTCAGACCTCCGAATGCACTTTCAGAATTCCATGTTTACAAAACCCAATCACACGAAGCCGATACTGGAAATGATCTTCGAAAGGGAAGGTTTTCCGGCGAACGTTAAAACCGATAACGGACCGCCCTTTAACGGACACGGATACAAAAATTATTGTACTGAGCGAGGAATTAACACCATTTTCTCCACTCCGCTATTCCCTCAGCAGAATGGTCTCGTACACAGCAAAAAAAAATGTAATATCGATCAACGTAATTCAAGCTGATGCATGAAATAATCATGTAATAGCAAAACGCAGATACAATATTACATCAATGGATGTAATTTTGTTCGCAAAATCGATGTACATCGTACAATGTGATTTTACACAACCGATGGATTGACCTGGTTGCAGCAGTTTCGATGTAATATTCAACAACTTTTTTTGCTGTGTAGAGGGCTATATATGAAGGTCATCAACAAGGCGATGTCCACTGCGTCTTCTAATAAAACTAACTTCGTCGTAGAGCTTCGCGCAGCTGTGGATTGACGAGTGCACGGATGGATTTGAGTTCACTCACTCGACAAAAAGTGACACACCAGCGGGGCCCTGTTTACTAAAAATGAACACATATGTGTTCATTTTTAGTAAACAAGGCCCCGCTGTTGTGTCACTTTTTGTCGAGTGAGTGAACTCAAATCCATCCGTGCACTCGTCTATAACGCGGCCACTCACCGAGTTACGAGAATTAGGTTTTGCACCGTCGGGGTTAACCTCAATCTGATGACAGTTCAGTGGTACCATAGAGGTAACTCTAAGACTAGAAGGTCCCGCAGAAACGTGCTCAACTTTTTGGCACAGCTCTGGTACTCTCTTCGGTCCCAAGCTAAATGATTCACCCCTCGAAACATAGGAAAAACCAATAACCCCTCATTTTGTCTGTCAAACTTTCATAGCGAATCAAAACAAACATTGCGTAGTACTAGAATTTCGACTAGAATAGGGTACGTTAATCGTTTGCTTGGGACCAATAGGCTACTAAAGTGGTGAGCCAATTAATCATGTTTTGTTGTTTTTGACATCATCCACATCCAGAGGGCCAGTCACTTCGAATGTATGGGAATGGTAGGAAACCATTTGGAAATGCATGAAAATTTTCAGTTTTTATTCATTATCGTCTTTATGGGCAGTTTTAGGTGCACAAAAATTGCACGAGTACATTACTATGGTGATAAGGTAAACACTCGTTTATTTGTTTCCTTCTGTGAAAGCATGTTTAGTCACAAATCGTGGATTTTCTGAAATTCTCCATACTGCAAAAATGATTTTCCTACCACTGAAGGGGCGACATCTCTCGGATCTTCAGTATAGCTACTACTCAAATCATATAATTAATTTAAAATTGTTAGTTTCGTATTGATTGTTGGTGGTACTGTTTACGTGGACTTAGTCGTTTTTTTCTTGGGTAGATTTTCTCGATAATTTTTCAGACTGCAGTGAGATGTAAACAACACTTTTGCATTGTCCACGAGCAACATCCTTTCACCGCGCTGTTCCTCGACAATTTTCAAGTTAAAATTCAAAAATTTTAGAATTTGTTTTTTTCGAAAAAACGACTAAGTGCTTGTAAACAGTACCACTGAACTGTCAAAAAGGTTCAGCCTATTAACACTGAGTTCATTTGTAACGTCACGCTGCAGAACCTAATGTTGATGATGAACTCTAGATCCACTCGCATTGACGAGTGCACGGATGGATTTGAGTTCACTCACTCGACAAAAAGTGACACAACAGCGGGGCCCTGTTTACTAAAAATGAACACATGAATAATACTCACGTAACATTTGAAACGGGTCTATCAACTTATGTACACAAAACTTGTTAAGCCTTTTTCGCGC